GTGGAGGGTGCAGACATCCTAGGAAAGTGGGAAGACAGAGGGGGAGACCCTTGGTGAAGGAATGACAGGAGGGGGTCTCCATCCCGATTGGGGACAGGGGTACATCTGTGATGAAAAGCAGGACTCTTGTCTTAGGGCCGTGGGCCCACCCGCCAGGGCAGGCTCTTGTTAGCAGCCGGACCCTGATGCCCTTCCTTTGACATCTCTGCCTCAAGCCTCTCAACTCCCCCTCAGCCCCCAACTCTCACTCTCTCTCTCTCTCTCTCTCTGTCTCTCTCTCTGTCTCTCTCTCTGTCTCTCTCTCTCTCTCTCTCTCTCTCTCTCGCATTCCTCTGGGAGCTGATCAGGGCTTGAATGACACCCCAGATGACTCTTTGCTATTAATTCCCACACACAGAATGGGCCCCTTGTTCTCCTCTCCCGGAGGAATAGCCGTGGCCAAAGCCATCCCAAGAGTTCCTGACTTAACCCTTCTCCTGGCTGCTCCTCTGCGCGTCCCCACACCCAGGGCCATGGGGCCTGCAGGGCGTGGGCACAGAGAGAGAGTCTAGGAAAAACAGGGGCTCTTCCAGCCCAGACGGAGCTCCTGGAATGAAGTCCCCAGGGTGGTACAGCAGGACCACCCCACCTTCCCGGGAAGCCTGACTCTGGCTCCTCACCTGAAGCTCTCGGCCAGGCCTTGGCAGCCAGAAGCCCTCTCCACCGGAATGTGGGCGACCCAGGGTCACCAGCCTCCCTGGGGCCAGCCTGATGTCTCTGGCCCCCAGGGAGGCTCCTACAAGGGGAGGCTGGGAGCTCAGGCCCTTGGCCCCGCCCTGGCCCTGAGAGGGTTAACAGGACTGGAGGCCCGACACCACCTGTCTGGGCAGGTCACTGAGGAGAGACAAGAGTTGCCCATGGCCTCTTTTTTTTGAGGAAGATTAGCCCTGAGCTAACATCTGCTGCCAATCCTCCTCTTTTTGCTGAGGAAGACTGACCCTGAGCTAATATCCGTGCCCATCTTCCTCTACTTTATATGTGGGACGCCTACCACAGCATGGCTTGCCAAGTGGAGCCACATCCACACCTGGGATCCGAACCTGCGAACTTCGGGCTGCCGAAGCAGAACGTGCATGCTTAACTGCTACACCACCGGGCCGGCCCCCTACCCATGGCCTCTTTTGATCCTCTGAGCCTGGAGGACAAAGGAGGAACTGGTCTGTTGAGTGAAAGCCCACCATCCCCTCATTCTCTGTCCCAGCCCACCTTCACCCCTGCCAGCTTAGACACTGAGAGTGGGAAGAGCTTCAGAGGCCTCAAGGCCAGTCCCTCACTGCTCAGATGGGGCAACTGAGGCCCAGAGCAGGAGAGCATGGCCCCTGTCCCTCTGGAAGTCGGTGGAAGAGTCCCAGGTCCCTGGCTTCTGGACCAAGACAATTTCTCCTTCCCCTTCCCCCTCCACTTCCACTTTCCACCTTCTGCCTGCTTTGCCCCAATTCTGCAGGGCTGCTGTGTGACCTTGAGCAAATCATCTTGGCTCTCTGGGTGCTGGAGAGCTCATGCATGAAGGAGACACAAACACCTGCTCTACCATCAATATCCCGACAACCTTTGCCTCTTGCCCTGGGATAAGGTACAAATCCTTCTGTCTGTGACTCAGTGAGGACCGTCCAGGGAGGCTTGAACCCATCCTCCCACCTTATGTCCTGCCTGTGCCCCCAGACACAGTGGCCCTCAAGACACAGTGCCCTCCAAGACACTGTGTGGGGGAAGGGCCTCAAAGGCAAGAACAATTAAGCTGGAAATAAGAAGAGGGAGATGAGGTGCTGGGCACAGGACTGAGGGGGCAGCAGGGTGACCAGGGCATGGTGGAGGGCCGGGCAAGGTGGCCTGGGGAGAAGCTGGCTGGAAACCTGAGCTGGAGCCAGGCGGGGAGGGCCTTGCCAGTCAGGAGAGGAGGCACAGCGCGCTCAGCCCCAAGAGCCACTCTGCAATCGTTTGCACAAATCTTGGTTTCTCTAAGTTGTCGCCTCTCCCCATCTCTCTCATTTTCCCAGGACTCTCCACCCCCTGGCAGCCTCCTCACATTTCCAGGTAGACAGGGGCAGGGCGGGTGAGGGATGGCCAGGGGCGAGGGGCAGGGACAGAGTGAGAGAAATTCGTGGAGAGAGAGACCAAGAGAGATGGAGACCTTGAGGGCAGAGCCAGGGGCTGGAGAGAGAGGGAGAGCAAGGACAGAGAGATGACAGCCGGCCAGGGGCAGAGAGGCCCAGAAGGGGAAGGACACTGAGAGACAGAAACAACCAACTGTGGGGTCAAAATTACGAAGCCTCCCAGAGAGAGGGGGCTGTGGACAGAAAGAGGAGAAAGCGGGAGCCATGGCAAGAGAGAAGGAAGTCAAGGCAGAGAGAGTGTAAAACAAGGCCGTGGACAAGGGGGCTGCTACGGAAGAGAAGCAGGGAGAAGGCAGAGCCAGGAGGAAGAGGAGGGAGAGGCGAAAGGAGGAAAGGGACAGCCCTGGCTGCCCTGCTCAGGGCCCCTCCCAGGCTCCTCTGCGTTTCTGGCAGGTCTGTGCAGCCACACAGGGCCCCCGCTCCCTGTGCACCTACTGTGCTCCAGCGCCCTTGCCTTCGGAGGCCAGGAGCACTTGCCTGCTCAGGATGCAGCAGTGAGGAAGGCATACGGAAGCCCAGGGGCATGGCCTGCCCCAGAGGCAGGAACTGAGGCTGGGGAGGGGGGCCTTAGAGACCATCTCTTCCAATAGTTCCCCTACGTGGTGCATCATAATCACGGTGGAGCTTTTAAAAAAGAGATTCTCACCCAAAGCTACAGCGCAGATGAGGCCTGGGAATCAGTGTTTATAGCAGGCTCCCCAGTGAACTTGCAGCAATGCCAGGTTTGGGCTACAGTGACAGATGAAGAGAATGCTAGTGGCCAGAGCGGGGCTGTGCCCATCCAAGGTCACAGAGCCTTCCGGGCCCCAGCCCAGGGCTGCCGGGTGGGTGCACACAGGGCCAGGCACACAGGAAGGGCCTAAGAGGGCAGTGCCCTAGCCCTTTCCCTCTGTCCGTCTAGCCAAGGGTCCAGGCCCAGCTCTCTGGGGCTGCCAGGGCAGTTGCCATCCTGCGGCCCAGAAATCAAATGGGGGAGAGGAAGGCATCGGGCCAAAATGGGATTTCTGTCCCCCATTTCCCTGCCCCCGTCCCCCAAGTGCCAAGGCCTGGGGCTGCAAGCTCTAGCCAGAGATGGGGGTGGAGGGGGGCATGGGGAGGGGGAAGACCCGAGTGCTTCCTGTCCCCCCCTTTACCTCGGCCTCCTTGGGCTCAGGGCTGGGTCCCCGGGGGCGGTAATATCTGAAGCTGACAGATCTGCCCTGTCCTTCCTGCCTGCTGGGGGGAGGGGTGGAGCCGGCTGGGAATCTGGCTCACAGCCTCCATCCCCTCCCCCACTTTGCTAGGTCTTCAGGGGCTTGGTGTCCCACTAAACCCAGCCTCTCCCCCAGGGGCCCCAGTTCCAGAAGCAAGAGCCCTGGACTGGGAATCAAGACGCTGCCTCCCTCACGTCCGGGGACATGACTCCTCCCTCTAACCTCACCTCCCTGCTCGCTTGCACCACCTCTCCAGGCCTCCCACCGCACCTCTCCACACCCGTCCTCCCCATGACGCTATGTTCACTCATTCAGCCATCCATTGGGCACCTCCAGGGTGCCAGGCGCTCAGCTCATCACCGAGGGTTCACGAAGCTGACATCCTTGTGGGAGGACAGACCGTGAATAACCAATCTCAGGACAAATATACGATCGTAAATTGCAGTGAGTGCTACAAAGGAAAAGGCCAGGGTGCTGTCAGAGAGAATCACTGATTCTGGAGGACCCGGGAGGTCTCTCTGTAGACGTGACCTTTAGGCTGAGCCCAAAGGAGGAGCCAACAAGGTGACGGCAGCAGAGCATTTGACGGACAGAGCACGTGTGGAGGCTCGAGGCCTGAGTGGAAGGAGGTGGAGGGCGGCCACTCTGGCAGGCATCTCGGGATGAGAGTGGGGCTGGGTCAGGCCAGGCCAGGCTGAAGATTCGGGACTCTGATCCTGAGAGCCATGAGAAGGAATCGTTTATTTGACCCAACTGCAATCCGAAGTTCTAGCTCCCTACACACACGAGTGTCTGCCACATCGGTGCGCTTTAGAACAAATGTGTAAATGGCTGACTGAGGAGAGTGGACGCGTGGGTCCTGTCTCTCAAAGGGCTAACAGGAATGGGATGACCCAGGCCAGGGGACAGGCTCTCTGGGGAGAGAAGTGGGGCAGGGTTTTAGTGGGTTCTCTCTCTGGCCAATGAGGTTCAACAAGCACTTACTGAGCACCTGCTGTGTGCCCAATGTCCCGCCCTCAGCAGCTGCGTTGGAGAGACAAAACCAGATGTGGGCCTTTCCCTATGGAACTCTAAAACTTCTGACAGTAAATCTGAAAGAACCCCCAGAGATCTCTGTGACCAACTCTCTCATTGCACAGATGAAAGAACAAGTGAGCCCAGAGAGGGCACTGACTTCCCCAAGGTCACACAGCAAGAGTTAGGACCTTGGCAGAGTAGGGAGCAGCTCCTCCCACTGCACCTGCCAAAGCAAGACTTCCACTCAGGATTCTAGCCCAAAACGGAGACACTCAAACTCTCTGACTTCTCAACCTGCCACCTGGTAGAGAGGCAAGATGCATACAAAACCCCTGTGCCTGGCAGCCTCATGGATAGAGTACAATTTCTGCTTGATTCGAAGCCCCTGGACACGCGAGCACACGCCCAGGGCTGTGCCTGGGTCCCCTGCTCTCACTGTATAAGTGCAGCTCTTCCCCCTCAAGAGGGAAGAGATTTTCCTGGGTGTATTATAACCAAGACATTATTACATCCAATACGTTAGCCATCCTACCTGCATCCTACCTGTCACCTGGCAGTTGAAACGACAGAGAAGGCAATTGCTATGTCTACATTTTGTCCCAGGCACCGTGCTAAGCACTTGCTATTTCTTGTTTTGCCTTTTTTTTTTTTTTCATCTTCACGACGTTCCCATGAGGCAAGTATCATTGTCCTCATGGTACAGATGAAGAAATCGAGGTGTGGGAAGATCACATAATTGGTCCAATCCCACCACTGATTACTGGCGCAAGGACCAGATTTCAACCTGGTCTCTCTGGCTCCAGATCTCAGGCTCATCATCACCCAGCCCCCTTTTCAACACAAACTGACATCATCCAAGGAAAAGATGACCTTCTTGCGGGGAGGCCCCATGGAGCTCCCACGAACACTACAGTCCCGCTAGATCACCCCGTTTTCACTTTCAGGGGACAGAGGTGAGCCTTCTGGGAGCAAGCGTGTGCTCATCATGCCAAACTCACACGGGCGGCCTTGGCTCTGTTCACACCCAGCCCACCCCCGCCCCTCTGCATCCATTGCCCTGGTCCTGCTAATGCCCTGGCTGACGAGTGAAACGACAGGGACTCAGGGTGGGAAGACACAGGTCCAGTCCTTGCTCTGTCACCCCCTAAACTGGGCAATCTGGACCAGCTCCTCCCCTCAGGCTGCCCAGGTGCCTTCTGGCGGTGGAAGAACCAAGGCCTCTTGCCAGCCCCGCACAGCCCACTCTGCCCAGAGATTAAAGGCAGCTCCAGCCCCTCCAGGGGCCACATCAAGGGTCCATGTGATAAAGGCCACCTTGGCCCTCCCAACCCCACCTTTCCTTCCTCCACCTTCGCCCCTCTGTTCATCCTCACACGTGTCTGTACCACGACACCTAATAAGTGTGTGGGAATGGATGAATGGCTGAACCAACTCCCAGTTCGCCGACAAGCTCCCTGAAGACAAGCTGAGCACTCACCCCTTTTCATTACCCCACAGAGAGCAGAGCCTGGCTGAGGGTGGGTCCCTGGGGAACCTGGTGCAGATGCCATCACAGGAAGGTCAAGTTCCAAGACCCCAGTCAGTCGTGGCCAATCACTTCCCTTTCTGCTTTTGTTCTGAGGGACCACAATCCTACCCTTGCTCCGCCAGCCTCCAGGGTTTCTGGGAGTTGATGGGAGACATCTGATGACAGTACTTGGACAGGATAAGAAGCAATGACCACTGTCAAACCCAAGGTCAACCAACAGCCACCCTTTGAGGGCAGATCCTGAGATGCTAATAACAATAGCTGCCATTTACTGAGCACTGTTATGTGCCAGGCACTGTCCTAAGTGTTTACATACACTATCTGGTTTAATCCTCACCACAATCTGGAAGGAAACCGAGACTCAGAGATGTTAACTCAGGACACACAGCTAATAAGTGAGGGTGCCGGGATTCAATCCTGGAGCTGTCTGACTCAAGAGCACCACACCTTGCTGCCTGTGGATGTTCATCTGCCTGCAGGTCATTCATTCATCTACATCACTGTGTACCTTCCATGTGCCAGGCTCCATGGAGGAAGGTGAGAAAGACCCAGCTCGCAGGTACACATCCCAGCAGGGACGATGTCCTGCTGGAAAGGTGAGCAAGGCAGGACGCAGGGGAGGCTCCAGGCCTGGCTGACAGGCGAGGTGTCCTGTGAGCAGGGTTTGGGCCACAGGGCGGGGGTGGGGAGAATGGACATGGCTGCAGCTTAGGGCAAGAGCAGGGCCAAGGCGGGCTGTGGGAGTTGTGGAGCTCTGTGCTGGGGTCGTGGGGGCGCTGAGAAACTGAGGACAGCACCCTGAGGACGGCCAGGCCCTCCCTGGGTCAGAGCTCCCCACAGGAGCACCCTGCCTTCTTCTCAGCTCTTGGGAGGGAGGATGCAGGAGAGAAAAGGACCAGAGTCAGAGGGAAGTACTCAGGAGGCAGAGGAGTTGGGCATAAGTATTTTAAACAAAGATGCATTTCTCAAGTGCAGAACTTAGAGCTTTTACACCCTCACAAGCTCTGCTTCTCTAAAAAGAGGAAGTGGCAAGCAAGTACTTCTCGACTGCATTTGCCCCCAAAACTCTTCTCAAGAGATGCTGGCCAATGTCTGAGGGATACCAAGCATCCCAGACACCACTTTGGAAACACTGGGTCATGCACTGGCCTCTTGATTTTGGGGGGGCAGGGGGGGGGCGGTTTTTTGGCTGCTGGAGATTAGCCCTGAGCTGACATCTGTTGCCAATCTTCCTCCTTTTTTTTTTGTGCTTGAGGAAGATTAGCCCTGAGCTGACATCTGTTGCCAATCTTCCTCTCCTTTGTATGTGGGTCGCCATCACAGCATGACTGGCGAGTAGTGCAGGTCTGCACCCGGGATCTAAACCCATGAACCGGGGCTGCCGAAGCAGAGCACGCGAAACTTAACCACTATGCCACAGGGCTGGCCCAGAGGCCTCTTGTTTTGAAATATAACTCACTGGCTATCAAATTTGGAAACGCCCTCAGAGGTAACCTAGACTTCCCCTCCTTTTATAGACGGGCAAACTGGGGCCTAGGGAGGGACGAAGGCAGTAGAGGTGACAGGTGGCCCCCACAGCCCGGCTGGAACTTGACCCCCGCCCTGGGTCTCCAGGCGTCTGTTGGGCCGTGGAGGACCTCGGCTGTACCAGGGCTCTGGGTTCCGTGTAGGTCTCTCCCATCAAACTCTGAGCTCCTCAAGGCCAGGGTCTGGCTCCATCACCTCCCCGCCCTGGCTCCTGGCCCTGTGCCCTGCACAGAGGGTACATTCATGAAAGTTCACTGCAGCACGAGAGATTCAGGGGAGACAACAGGAAGGGCCTTCTGGCAGCTGAGTTTGGCTAACAGGAATGAGCAGCCTCCCTTCTCTGAGGGCTCCTAAGAAGAGGGCAGAGGCCGGCTGCCCTGAGGCAGCACTGGGCACTGGCTCCAGCTTCCTTGTTCCCGGAGAGGGTGGGGTTGGGAGGGGAAGGAAGACTCGGGCACTAGGAGCGGCCTTCCTGGCCCAGCTCCGGGACCCTGAACTTGGACCAGAAACAGGGACGAGTGAGAGCCCCTGTCGGGACAGGCCCTGGAATGCTGTCCTCCTCCCCAAGTGAGTGCTCAGGCCCTCTGCCTCCAGGAAGCCACTCCTGCCCACTCCAGCCTCCCTAGTCTTTTCCTCCTTGGAACCCTGACAGCAACTCAGCTCAGGGAAGACTCCCTGAGGTGGTGCTGTGCCCTGGAGAGGCCAAGACCAAGAGGAGGGCATGCCCCTGCCCTCAGGGCTCCCCCAGGAGGGGATGCAGCCCGGTCTGCGTGCCAGGCTGTGTGTGAGGAGATGAGAGAGGTGCAAAGCTATCTCCTTCTCCTCCACAGGAAAGTAAAACAGGAAAAGAATTCCAACCAAGGCGTCCAGGAGTGTGTCCCTGAAAAGAGGGCCTCTGAGCTGGGCTGCTGGCAGCGACTAGGGGAGCGCAGACAAGTGCAAAGCCTGGGGGGTAAGGAGGAGGACCCCGCTGGCTTGGGGTCTGGTGGCAGTCGGTAGAGCAGTCAGGGCTGGGCTGAGGAGGTAAACTGTGGCCCGCCCACCATCAGCTGGGAGAGCTCGGCCGTCACTGAACCTCTCTGTGCCTCAGTTTCCTTCCTAGAAGGAGAACAATGACAGCACCTACTCATAGGGTTGTTGGGAGGACCAAAGAGCCCAGCGACAGCAGCGCTCAGAGCAGGCGGCCCACTGGGGGCTCTGGAAGCATTGGCCTTCCCTGTTGAGGGACACAGATGGGCGACGCCCACCCACAAGGAGCTCATCACACACCACCCTGGTCTGACATTGGGATCTGACGGCAGATTATCAAGACCTGACTGCAGGTCCAGAGCGGCTGCTTGGGCCCCGGGTGCCCTGAATCGAAGAGCGCGTTCTTCTCCGCCTCCCAGCCCCACGTCACCGCTTCTAATCAGCATCCAGCGAGCCCCAACTGTGCACCGAACATTGAGCTGGCACTCATGTTTGCGTGTGTGCATGTTCTTATTTAATTCTCCCATCTGCTTGGGGATGTAGTGACATATATAAAATTATCAACATTTCACACATGCGAAAACCGAGTCTCAAGAGGTTCATAGCATAATCTGCCCAAGGCCACATGGGTACTAGTGGCAGGATTTCCTGAGTCCAAGTCCAGTGCTCTTTCCACTGCACCCCAAACCGAGGAGAACACAACCTGTCCAGAGGTGGGGGTGGCCTAGGAAACACTCAAGGGAGCCGCCCCCCAGCCCCCATACTCTCACCCAGACTAAGCTTCTATCTCAGTCCCTGCTGTACCCTTGACCCCTGGCCCGCGCCCCTCAGCCCTTGCCCTGGCCAATGCACAGCCCCGCCCCTGCCACACCCTGCAACTCCCTACACACCCCAGTGTAACTACAGCTCTGGCCTCCGGCTGTGGGGTCCAGAGCCCTGGTCCCCTGCCCCTCCTTGGAGATTTTGGGCCCTGCAGGGGGTCATCACAGCCTCACGGCTCCAGAGACCCCAGTAAGGGAGAGCAAGGCCTCCCAGGAAGTTTCAAAAAGTAAACACGTCTGGACTCCATCCCTAGAAACTCAGAATTAGCCAGTCTGCGGTGGGATCCCGGGTTCAGCATTTTTTTTTAACTCTACACATGACTCTAAAGTGCAGCAAGAACTAGAGCCAACGCTCTAGGCCTGGGAGCTCGGCAGGCCCCACTCCAGGCCCGCAGAGGGGGAGCCGGGTGATTCTGCGCACGTTTATGTGGAGAGGGACTGTCCTAGGCCAACCCTGACTTCACAGATCAGCATGGAAGGCCCCCTGGAGTGTGCGGGAGGCGGGCGGTGTGTGTTAGAGGCCCTGGGAGGGGCACAGGCCTGAGGAAGGAGTGAGAGGACCGCCTGGCCCAGCAGGTCTCACCCACACATGCCTAGAGATGGAAAGGGGCTTTCCCAGTGTCCCCTCCTCTGGTCCTCAGCCCTGCCCACTGAGGGAGTCAGGAAAAGAGTCTCATGCCCCACTAAGGAAACTGAGGCTGGGGCAGAGATTCAACTTGGCCAGCACCACGGGTCGCCCCTGCATGGCCCCTGGCTCTATGGGACAGCAGATTTCCCATCTCCTCTCAGTGGGTCCTGGGAGGCAGGCAAGGAGGGACGTGATCCACCCCAGGTGACAGATGAGGGGCTGGGCCCAGGGCAGGGAATCAAGGGTGGGGCCTTCCACAAAGCAGAACCAGGGCCCTAGGAAGAAGACTCAGGGACCCAAAGGGTTAAGGGTCAGTGGTGACCCTAAGCAGCTGTGCCAGGCAGGGTCATCGGGGGCTTCACGTTTGACTCACAGAATTTCACTCACTCTCCTCCTCTCGGGGGCCCGTCTGAGGAGTATATCTGGGACCAGCCTCCACAGAACCAGGTTGGATCCCAGGAAAACTCTGCTGCTCAGCCCAGGAAGGCAGCCTGGATCTCCACCGTCAGCCTCACGCTTGGGGCCCTCTCTGTCAGGGAGAGATGGCAGGCCACAGAGTCCACCTGTCACCACAGCTCACTGAGGATGGGCAGATTGGATTGGGGGGTACGGTAAGGGGGTCGCCAGCATCCTTGGGGAAGGGGACCCCTCCCACCCCAAGCAGGGAAGGGAACAGAAGGTGGCGCTGGCCCACCTGGTTGTTCTAAGGGCAGAGGCCCCCTGTCTTCACACAGGACCCCACGCCCTCTCCAAACTCCCTGCTCTGCAGGGATGACTATGGGTCCTTCACCTCCCCTGCTGGAGAAGGCTGGGCCCCCAGGGCCTGGGATGGGATGGAGATCACAGTTGCCAGCCTGGTGGGAGTGGTTCACAGCAGGGGTCCCCTAGCCCTGGGCCTCTGACAGCCTTCCCCTACACCCCTGCAGGCCCACCTGCCTCATTAGCACCTCTCAACAGAAGCCTGAGCACAGCACTGAGGAGACAGGCGGAGCGAGGGAGAGAGAGACAGAGGGAGGGGAAGAGAGAGGTCCCCTCTGTCCAGCGTGGCTTCTCCACAGACCGAGAGCACCCACTGCCACCCCCACCCCCATCCTGGCACAGCTGGGCCAAAGAGGGTAAGGGAGGAGGCGGGGAGTCGGAGAGGGAGCTGTGGGACCCCACACTCGGCTTCCTACGCTGGGCCCTCTCCCTCCACAGCCACCCCTCCCTGCCCTAGGGGGTCTCAGGCCAAATCACAGACACCACAGGGAGCAGGGAGGCCCTTCCCTCAAAGAGGAGGAACCAAGGGGTGAAGGGTGAATGGGGACCCACCGGGATCGAGAGATGCCAGGCAGGCGGGCAGCGGGCGGGCAGCAGCGGGTGTCGGAGACTGCTGCGGGCAGCCGGACACAAGCAGCTGGATGCTCGTCCCTCCGTCCCTCTGTCCATCCAGGGCGGCTCCTCTCTGGGCGGTTCTGAGGCCGGGCGGACGCTGTTAAAAAGCTTTTTATGTGTGTGTGTGTTAATCACATGATTGCCGTTCACCTGTATTTCGAACAAAGACAGCTCACTGTTTCAAGGCCCCGAACAAGAGTCTGGGCACAGGGAAGAGAAGGGAGGCGGGGGGAGGAGGGTTGGCAGCGCCGGGGGTGGCGTCGAGGAAAACTGGGGGGAGATTGTCCAAGGCCGGCAAGCGAGAGAAAGAGAAAACCCTTATCAAACTCCTAATTCACTGGGCTCCGAGGCCCCAGACACACTGGCCCGATTGTCTGGCTGGTTGTGTGTGTGAGCATGTGTGTGTGTGTGTTCCAATGTCCGCTCCCCCCACCCCCAACATGCCTTCGCCTCGTGTGACTACCTCATTGTGTCCCATTACCCACCCCCCTCCACCCCCTTGGCCTTTCCCAAGTATGAGGCCTTGCCTGGACCCCCTTTCCAGCCCGACTCCAGACAGGACTCCCTTGGGGTGGGCCTGGGGCCTTGCCCAGCTGCTGAGAGGCTCAGAACCATAGGTGGTGGCCAACTCGGCCCAGGCTCCATCTGTCCCTCCATGCAAGCCCCCACCTCTGCCTCGACACCCTCCCTCCCGTTGAGAAGAGAGAGGGGCTGTGACCTTTGGAGGAGAGACCTAGGAAAGAGGAGAGAAGAAGCCCTGGGTGATGGGCACGACAGAATAAGGGGAGGGGTCACCCAGCTGGGGAGGGGGGGCTGAGGGAGAAGTGGGCAGAGAGGAGGAAGAGGGGGATAGGGCAACTCCCCACTCTTTCTTGGGGTTGGGGAGGGGGAACTTCATGACAACCAGGACTGGGGACTCCTCCCACCAAGAGAGTGTAAACCTAGTGTAGAGAGAGTTGGGTGCCAGGAATTGGGGCCCCAGAAGCCTTTCAGACCTACCTGGGGAGGCCCCCTGGCCCAGCCCCATGCCCAGCCTCTGGGAACTTCAACCCTGTCTCTCTACCTTGAGCCAGCCTAGCCCTTCTGAGTGCCGGGTGTCTGGTGAGAGGGGAGCAGGGCTCCAGCCAGGGCATCTGCACTGGGCAGGGGGTGTCTGGCTGGCCCCTGCCTCAGCAGGTACGGACCTATGTTCTCTCTCTCTCACCCTAAGTTGAGGCAGAGAGGGCAGCCGGGTGTGGGTAGGAGGCAGAGTGAGACAGGGTGAAGCAGCGCCTGGCCGCAGGCACTCAATAAGGCACTCAACAAGATGTCTTAAGTGAAGCCACACAAGTCGACAGGCCACTCACCTGCCTTCTTCTCATCCCTTCCCAATCCTTTGCCAACTGCCCATCCTGCCACCTGAGGCAGAGGTTGAGGGTCCCAGTTGGGCCCAATTTTCCTCCAAGGAACAGGTTCTGACTCTGCCCACCTGCATCCCTTGGCTTTCCTGGCCTGACCATCCCCACCCCTCCGCCTCCCCTAAGCCCAGGCCTCAAGACCAGCTTGGGACAGCCGCACAGCGAGCTGGGGTGGGGGCTGGCAGAGGAGCCCTGAGTGTTGGGGATGAAGGCAGGCGCTGGAGGCTCCACCTTCTGCCCTTCCCTCCCTCCCCTCCCCCTCCCCCTCTCCCCCTCCTTCCTTCCCCAGCCCTCGGCAGCAGCTCAGCGCTCAGTCAGTCTCAGGCTGTCCGGCCAGGGTGGTTGGTGGTGAGGATTCAGGCTCCGTCCTGACGAGGCCGTGGCCTGTGGCTCAGGGCCCCCCAGCCCTTCCCTTCCAACCCACCAGCGTCACCCCCCAGCCCCGAGCTGGACCGCACACCTTGGGACACGGTTTTCCACTTCCTAAGGACGAGTCCCAGACTGGAGGAGAGGTCCGAGGAGGTGAGTGAGTGCGCAGCCCGCTCCTCCGCTCCTCCCTTCCCGGGCCCAGGCCTGGACCCTGCTGTGGGGCGTGGGGTGGAGGGAGGCTGACACCGCATCTGCCCCCACCAGCTCCTCCAGACCCGTCAGGGGCAGGCGGCAGGGAAGACGAAAGGTGAGAGAAAAGGTGGGAAATTCCAGGAGCCAGGATTAGAGCAGGATAAAGAGTCCGTTTTTCTTCCTTTCCATCAACAAACCTCCACCCAAAAGGAGGTTTAAAAAAACCCAAACCCACCCACACCAAGAGACGGTTGGGACCAGGTGGTGGGAAGACGCAGAGGCGGGAGCTAGGAGGCCGAGCCAGGGTCTGGCATGTGCGCGGGCCCCAGGCTGCAACGAGTCCAGAGGGAACAGGGCGGGCGCCACCTCGGGGCTGTGCCCGCGTCGCGTCCCGGGCGGCCCTCGGGGCTGCGCGCAAGGCCGCTCCATCACGCCCTCCTTCCCGTCCAGGTGGGCGTTGGACTCTTCGCGAGGACCCCGGCGGCGGGCCCCGGGGAGGCGGCCGAGGTGGCAGCGGCCGGGGGCGACATGGCGGAGGAGCAGGACCTCTCCGAGGTGGAGCTGAGCCCCGTGGGCTCCGAGGAGCCCCGCTGCCTGTCCCCGGGGAACGCGCCTTCGCTGGGGCCCGACGGCGGGGGCGGCGGCGGATCGGGCCTGCGAGCCAGCCCGGGGCCCGGAGAGCTGGGCAAGGTCAAGAAGGAACAGCAGGACGGCGAGGCGGACGATGACAAGTTCCCCGTGTGCATCCGCGAGGCCGTCAGCCAGGTGCTGAGCGGCTACGACTGGACGCTGGTGCCCATGCCGGTGCGCGTCAACGGCGCCAGCAAGAGCAAGCCGCACGTCAAGCGGCCCATGAACGCCTTCATGGTGTGGGCGCAGGCGGCGCGCAGGAAGCTGGCCGACCAGTACCCGCACCTGCACAACGCCGAGCTCAGCAAGACGCTGGGCAAGCTCTGGAGGTGAGCGCCCCGACCCGCCTCCGGGGGGCTCCCGGGCCCTCTCGCTGGGGTAGAGTCGGGCTGCACGGGCACTGCCCGGACCCTGCTCCCGGGGGCAGCCACCTCCTTGCTGTCACCGGAGCCACGGCGTGGGCAGCGGGCCCGCCCCTCCCCCACAGGTGGCCCCCTGGGGTTGCGCTGGCTCAGAGCTCCCACGGCCTAGGCCCGGCTCCCCACCTGGGGCAGTGGGCTGGAAGGCGCCCCCTCGTGGCTGGAATTCTGTCGGTGGCAGGCGGTAGGGCCTGGGCTTCTTCCTGGAGGAGTGAAGGCGGGCGCGAGGGCTGGGTGGCGGAGGATCCCACACCACAGGCCTTCGCTAACCGCTTCCCCACAGGCCCGCACACTCGGGGGGCCGCTGCCACGCTTCCAGTGGTCAGGAGCGTGCGGGGAAACGCTTGGAAAAGAACGGAAGGCCTGGCTGGAGAGGCAGGGAAACTGAGGCAGCCAGATGGAGAACTGGGGGCAGTTCAAGGGAAACAAGGAATTCAGACAGGAGTCGTTGAAAGAGTGAGGGATGGAGAACTGGCCCAGGGTCCTGTCCTATCCCAGCTGCCTTCACTGTGCCTTCCTGACCCCACCCTCCCTCAGACAGGGGCTTCTTCATCCCCCAGGGAAGGGGACACCCAGAAAGAAGCCTCCCCCTCCCACCCCGTCCCAGCGCTGCCAGGCTTGTCTCTCTGTCCCTCCCTCTCCCAGTCCGGCGCCATCTTCTTTTCCAGGGCCCCACCCAGCGCTGAGTAACCTCCTACCCCTCCAGCCGCGGAGCTGGAGCTGAGCACCCTGGCCGGGAGGAAAGCTGGGCCCCCTTCCTACTAGGGTTCCTCAGAGCCTCAGTTCCCTGGGACCAGCCCAAACCTCTGGGGAAAACATCTCCTCAAGGAGGAACTCCGCCACCCTCCCCTCAACTTTGGGGCTCAGCCTGGCCCCCTTCCGGGATATGTCGAGCAGGGTGAGCCTCCACCCCCAGAATCCTTGGCAGCTCCCAAAGACTACAGGGGCTGCAGGAGATGAGCACCTGATTCCCCACTAGACTGCCCAAGAGAGCCCAGAAAGGCAAAGGGGCCACAGAGGCCATGTAACAGCTGGTGGCAGAGCCAGGGCCAGAACTAGGTCTCCTGACTCTTTGTCCAGCGGTCTTCCCTACACCATCCTTGGTGACAGCAGTGGGTCACCCCGTCACTCTAAGATGTGGTCAGGAGGTTGTGAGGGTGGGGGCAGAGAAGAAGAGAGCAGAAGTGAGGCGCCCCTGGGTTTCAGAAAGTTTGGGCTTTATCTGAGGAGCCTGCTTCCCTCCCCTGCCGGCCCCCAGCACAGTGGAGACTGGATGTAGAAGGCCAAAAGCTTAAAGTGGTGGAAGGAGCAGGGGGGCCCCAAGAGAGCCAGAGGGATTCCCATCCAGCCCCCTGGCCCCGTCCTTGCTGAGTGTTTGCTGAAGGCCTGGTGCCCTTGCCCTCCACCTCCCAGCCCTTAGCGCTCTGCTCATCCTTGGCAGGCCCTAGGCTCAGTGGACAGCCTGCTGCAAGCACCCAGCGGGTCCAGCTCTACCCAAGAACAGAGGTCGAAGCTAGCTCCTCTGCCCAAGGTCCATCCACACCCGGATAGGGCTCAGCCCAGGCCAGTACCCTTGGTGCTGTGGGACGCAGAAGAGCAAGTGAGAGGCAGGCAACCAGCAGGGAGACAGATGGGCAGACAGAGCAGGCCATGGGGACAATAAGCAGGCCACAACGCAAGCCCAATGACAGCATCCCACCACCTCTATTGCCCAGGATTTAAGATTGAACTCTCCACTGTCCCTGGCCCTCTTCCCCCAGGCCAGAACCCTGCGCTTGGGCTCCCTTGGGAGGATTTGTTCCTGGGCACCGCTCAAGCTGTGCACACAGAGGCCCAGGGTGCCCCCCAGGGGCCAATCTGGGATGGGGCAGTCTGGAGAGCAGGCACTGCTTGCTCAGGACCCAGCCCCGGGGAGAAGAGTGGTGGGCAATGGCACAGAGCAAAGGCTCTTCCACCAGGTGGGCAGGGCCCTGGGATCCTGGGTGGTGGCCCTGAGAGGCATCTGGATATGGGCTGGGCTGGCCAGTCTCTCCAGGGGTCCTCCTGAAATACCCCAGGCTCATGACTCCCAGGCCATCAGAAAGGGGGATGGTTAGGTAGGCAGAACTGAAAAGCAGAGGCCCTAAACCTGAAAAGAGAAAGACATGCAGACGTGTGGTATGCTGGAAGTGGGTTGGGGTCAGACATACCAGCGTCCAGGTCCTGGCTCCTACGTGGCTGCGTGCTTCAACTGTCACACAAACCTTCGGTGCCCGCCTAGGAATGACTGTTAGATGCTGATCCGGTGCTGGTTGGATGTTGGTTGACCAACCTGCAAAGAATAACTAGAGCCTAGAGACTCAAGGGGGTCACAGGCTGGAGTCTCTCCTGACCCCCAGGCCACCAGGCCCCTTCCCTGACAGGAGGAGCATATGGAGAAGCAGCCGGTGCCCCACCTTGGGAGCCCCTCAGTTGGGGTTTCCAGTTTGGGTGTGGAACCAGCCTACCCTCTGCCCGCCCCTATTCCAAACCTTAAAGACCCAGAGGACAGAGGTGAAGTGAAGGTACAGATGAGAACTGGGTTTGCAGTTAGAGCTGTGGGTGACATCAGGGAGGGGGGACAGTGTTGAGTGAGGGCCAGTGCTGGAGTCAAGATTAAACTTGAGATTGGGCCTCCGTGGTGGGGCAGGATGGGTCTGGGGTTAGGAGAGAGCCTGAACAGAGCTGAGGGTAGTCTGGATGAGGCTGGGCCTGGGGCTGGAGGTGGGGTTGGCCATCTGCAGCCCATGAGGGACCAGGCTGAGGTTAGGGCTGGGGCCAGGGCTGGTGGTGCCCCCCACCCCCACCCCACACTGGTGTTAGGTTTCTGTTGAGGTTAGGGTACTGCTGGGAATTAGATGGGAGGCGGCAGTAGTGTACAGTGTTGGGATCTTCACCCTCTTCTGGCCTTTGTCCCCGTTCAGCGCCCCCTGCCATTTTCTTGCTCATTCACACCCAGTTGCCAGCTAGACAGCACAGGGAAGGTTTGGGTGGGAGAGGGAGCTCAGGTCCCCAGCCATCCCAGGAGCCTCTGTGTTGGGGCCCACGGCTGGCTGAGCCTGCTCTGCACGCTCATGTGCAGCCCCCCCACCAACACACACACACATTTGGGGCTGCCCCACCCACTACCCTGAGCCCAGTGGCCTGGCTGGGAGGCATGGCTCGGGGGAGGAAGCATCCCACTCTGTGACCCCCAAGGTCCTGCTCTGGGGTCTCCATCCCATCACTCAGCTAGACGGACCCTTGGAGAAAGCTGGGCCAAGGCTGGGCTTGGGCGGCCTTGGGGGAGGGGGTAGTGGGGGAGGCTAAGCCGCAGAGGAATGCTGCTGCCGGCTAGGAGGTGCCTGGTGTGACCACCCCCTCCCGTCCTGGGCAGGCAGGGCTCCGTCTTCTGCTGACTGGGGGAAGAGGGCACCTACTAGGGGGCGGGGGCAGCTGGAGAGAGAGGCCCTTTGGGCAGCGGGACAGAGCTGCTCCCACAGAGTCCCTTATATCTAGGACTCTGCGAGTCTGTGTTTGTTCCCCTCAGCTCCCTCTGCAAGGTACCCACCCTCCCCTCCTTACCCTGGGGCAGCCAAGCGTTGAACACCCCCTTCCCCGCTCCAGCCCTGCCCTGGAGCTGGAGTTGAGTGGGCAGGGGCACTGCCTTCAGGGCTTCCCTCCACTGGCTGGTCTCAGGGACTGCAGAGAGGGTCTGTCTGCGCTGTCCCAGGGTCCAGGAAGACCATCCAGCTTCCTCTACCCTCTGTCACTCCCTGGACAAGGAGCTATGATGCCCCCCAGGAGGCAGTGCCCCCACATAGTGAAGAAGATTCACATCTGCCCCCCTGGTCCCACCACGCTGCAATTCACAAAATCAGTATTCCCGAGTTGAGAGGGCCTGCCCCAAGTCCTCCTGTCCAACTCCCCCGCAAGCAGCATCAGAATGGCACCTCTTTCTCAAGGCGCCCACCCCCCATCCCCAGGCCTGGTGCAAAGTGCTTCCATCCAGCCACACCCAGGAAAGTAGGTATTATCCTAGGTTTTATAGGTGAAGAAACTAAGGCTTAGAGAAGTGACTTGCCCACAGTCACACAGCTAGTAAGTAAAGACTGAGCTCTTCTCCCTCACCGTGCTGCTTCTCTGTTTGCACACCTCCAGTCCCAGGGAGCTCACTCCCTAACAAGGCAGCCAGCTCCACTTGTAGACAGTTTTGACAGTTTTGACTGAAGGAAGCTCTGTGCCCCTCATAAGCTCAATTTCTACTTCTAATTCCATCCTCAGGGGCCGCCAGGAGCAGCAGGCCCCTTCACACCCCAGCCCCCGACAGATGTGGAGGCAGAGATCACAGCCCTCTGAGGCCATTGTTTCTCGGGCCTCGAATCTTCCAGTCCATAAATCAAAGGGCAAGCCCTCAACCAGGCCCTGCCCACTGGGATTCCCACCTCCAGGCCTCATTTCTTCCAGGGAAGACACTCACGCTAGCCCCTCTGCTGTCTCCCCAACTGCCCCACCCCAGGCTGCTGAACGAGAGTGACAAGCGTCCCTTCATTGAGGAGGCTGAGCGGCTCCGGATGCAGCACAAGAAGGACCACCCGGACTACAAGTACCAACCACGGAGGCGGAAGAATGGGAAGGCGGCCCAGGGGGAGGCGGAGTGCCCGGGCGGGGAGGCGGAGCAGGGCGGCGCTGCCGCCATCCAGGCCCACTACAAGAGTGCCCACCTGGACCACCGGCACCCGGGAGAGGGCTCCCCAATGTCAGACGGGAACCCCGAGCACCCCTCAGGTGAGTGCTGGGCTGGGAGCTGGCAGGGGGCTGAGGAAGAGTTGTGGGTGAGGGGAGCTTGGGCTGTGGGAGAGGTGAAGGCTGGAAGGCATGAGACCCTGACACCCCACAACAATCCTGGGCTCTGGGAAGGGCTTGCCAGGCTGTGCGGTTGTCCCAGCTCTGGTGCAGGGCCCAGAGTAAGCTCAGTGGGAACTCAGGTGCCAGGGGAGGTGGCTGGGCAAGAGGGCTGTGGCGGACGGAAGGGGGCACTGCTGCTGGGTGAAGAGGCCAGTTAAGGAGGCCATGGAGGCCAGGGGGCAAGTTGCAACTAGCAAAGTGGGATCAGGATGATTTTGAGGAATGAGAGATCAAATGGAGGAGACACCTCCTGGTCTGATGGGGGAGCCACGGCATGTAATGCTGAGCACAGGCCATGGATGGGCCAGACAGAAGGCATCTTGTTTCATTCTCGTTAATTGAGCATCCGCTGTGTGCCAGGCACGGTGCTAATTGCCGTATGTGTGTTCACTCAGTCTATCACTCTCCGCTGTGAGGAGGCAGCCCCACCACCAGGGCTCGGCCTCACCTGTGTGGCAAGTTACTGTCATCTTACAGAAAACCTAGAGTAACTCAGCTGATGTCTAAGCCCAGACAGCGTGGCTCCGGGGCCTCTGCTGGCACCACAGCTGCCTCGATGGTATTCATAATGTACAGAATGCCGTGCAGGGGTCAGGTACAGGGAGGTCTTCGTGAGCAGAGCTCTGCCTTCAGGAGACATGCCCTGAGCCCTCCTTCGTGCCAGGCCTGGGAGCAGACATGAGGGGCACAAACAAGAAGCTGTGGTCCCTGGTCTCAGGAGCCATGGCCTAGGGGAGGAGCGGGATGACAAGTGAACTAAGCACAGGAAGACGCAAGTGCACACGAAGCCCGTGTGAGACGCAGAGGGGGCCTGACCTCTAGGGAGGAGTCATCCTGTCCATCTAGTCAGGTCTCGAAAAATATCCAGCTACCCGCAAGACTCTGATCAAGGAAGGCTTCCAGAAGAGGCCATGTCTGAGTTTGGTATTGTCTCTGTTTTACTGATAAGGAAACTGGTTAAGAGAAGACAGAGGTTTGTCCAGAGTCACAGCAAGTGACACAGCCAGGATTGAAACCCCAGTCCAGAGCACTTGGCCAGTGCAGGACTCAGCACTGCCTCTGGTCTGATGAAGGAGGCTCAGGCCTGCCCTCAGGGAGCTCCTGGTCTCATGGACCATGGACTGTTCTCTCTCTGATGGGATCCCCAGTCCAGCCCTCCCGCCCCTGCACATGTATGCCTCACCTTCAGAGATTCAGGGACACACATGCCCACCCGCAGACACAGACACACCAGAAGACCCTGGACCATGTACAGATCAACTGTCTCAGAATATAACTGTGGGCATGGCTTTTTCTGAGCCTCTAAGGCCCAGCTCAGCTCCCTGTCCTCAGTGAGACCTTCCCCATGTCCCCAGGGCAGGGTGGGTGGCTTCCTCCGCTGGTCCCCTGAGCCCTCTGCATATCTGTCATCACAGAAGGTCTGGCGCTGCGTGGCTTCCTCCGCTGGTCCCCTGAGCCCTCTGCATATCTGTCATCACAGAAGGTCTGGCGCTGCCCTTTAGTCGTGTGTAGGTCTCTGGATTTCCCCCTAGACTATGGGCTTCTGAAGACAGGGACCCATTTTATTTACGTTTGTATGCCCTGCACCTGGCACAGTGCCTGGCACTTAGCAGTGCCCCCTAAGTATTTGCTGAATGAATATGTGAATGAGAAAATGGACAGACAAGGGAACAGGGGTGGAGCAAGTTAGTTATCTAAGTGCTCTCCTGAGCAAGAGGGCAGGCAGCACAGCACAGTGTGATGGGCACTGGGGGCATGGCCAGTGGGACTGGGTCAGAGGCAACGTTTGCTGGAGTAAGGGGCACTTGAGCTAGCCTTGGGAGGAGGGATGGGGTTGGAAGGGACACATGGCTGTTGAGGGGCCAGGGCCAGAGGAGGCACAGGCAAGCCAGCCAAAGTGAAACAGAGGAGTTAAGAGTGGCAAGGGTAGGTGACATCAGCAAGAGCGACCAGCAGAGGCCGAGTGTGCCCTGCAGAGAGAGCAGGCGAGCGCAGACCAACAGGCCAGTGCCCCTCGGATCAGTAGCAAAGGAAGAATGGGAACTGGGAGGGAAGCCAACTTTAGCTGATGTGGGAAAGAACTTTCCAACAGGAAAGGTTTTTCAAAATGAAGCAGGCCCCTCCAGGAGGTGAGTGACAGAGGGGAGTCCTGCTCTGGGTGGGAGGCAAGACCCATCCCTAAGATTTGGGAATTTCATAAACAACTGGAGACCAACCCAAAACCATTATATAAATGAATGCCAACTCAGGCTGCCCAAACATGTGAAATTTACAAGGTCACATGGTAGGGAGGCCCTTAGCCTCCAGAAGGCCTCTTGTCTGAAGGTGAACCATCAGAATCCAGAAGCCTTGGACTTTGTTTCTCATTTTTTTTTTTTTTTTTAAAGATTTTATTTTTTCCTTTTTCTCCCCAAAGCCCCCCGGTACATAGTTGTGTATTCTTCGTTGTGGGTTCTTCTAGTTGTGGCATGTGGGACGCTGCCTCAGCGTGGTCTGATGAGCAGTGCCATGTCCGCGCCCAGGATTCGAACTAACGAAACACTGGGCTGCCTGCAGTGGAGTGCATGAACTTAACCACTCGGCCACGGGGCCAGCCCCTGTTTCTCACTTTTTCTCTGTCTCCTTTCCACCCAGGTCAGAGCCATGGCCCACCCACTCCTCCAACCACCCCAAAGACAGAGCTGCAGTCGGGCAAGGCAGACCCCAAGCGGGATGGGCGCTCCATGGGGGAGGGCGGGAAGCCTCATATCGACTTCGGCAACGTGGACATCGGTGAGATCAGCCACGAGGTAATGTCCAACATGGAGACCTTTGATGTGGCTGAGTTGGACCAGTACCTGCCGCCCAATGGGCACCCAGGCCATGTGGGCAGCTACTCAGCAGCTGGCTATGGGCTGGGCAGTGCCCTGGCTGTGGCTAGTGGACACTCTGCCTGGATCTCGAAGCCGCCAGGCGTGGCTCTGCCCACGGTCTCGCCACCTGGGGTGGATGCCAAAGCCCAGGTGAAGACGGAGACCGCGGGGCCCCAGGGGCCCCCGCACTACACCGACCAGCCATCCACCTCGCAGATCGCCTACACCTCCCTCAGTCTGCCCCACTATGGCTCCGCCTTCCCCTCCATCTCGCGCCCCCAGTTTGACTACTCTGACCATCAGCCCTCAGGACCCTATTACGGCCATTCGGGCCAGGCCTCTGGCCTCTACTCGGCCTTCTCCTACATGGGGCCCTCGCAGCGGCCCCTCTACACGGCCATCTCTGACCCCAGCCCCTCAGGGCCCCAGTCCCACAGCCCCACACATTGGGAGCAGCCAGTATATACGACGCTGTCTCGGCCTTAAAGGGGGCCCTGTCACCACAGCCCTGCCTGGCCTCTCTGGGTAGCACATCCCTTCCCCCAGCCCTTGCGCCCTGTTTCTCGCCCATCTCAGGCCTGGTGGTGGCTGTGGAAGAGGCTGGAGAGGCTGACAGCTGAGGGAAGGCTTTCTGTCTGGTTCACAGCCTTTGATGATCCCACCCCATCCTATCCAGGCTCCAACCCAGGCAAGGCCCTGGGCTACTAGGCTGGGCAGAGGAGAAGGAGGTTGATCGTTGCCCCTAGACTGAAAGATGAGGGGCTGCACCTTCCCCCCAGGAATGACCCTCGATCCCAGGACCTGAGAAGGACCCGCTCATCCTCCTCTGGGAGGAGGGGAAAGCATCTAGGGTTGGATGGGAACCAGAGGCCTTGCCACTCCTGTGCCCGTGTCTGCTCTTGCATGGAGAATGAGGGGTCTGACATAACCATGCCACCTGTGCCACATGCCTAAGAGCAAGGCCAACCAGAGACCTGCATCATTGCCTAGAGCAGACTACATCTGCCCCTCGGGCTGAGGACAACTTTGAACACCCTCGGCGGGTATAGGGCTGGGGTGGGGGCTCAGAGGGAGGTCTCATCCCCTCAGTGCCCCTTCCCCTCCTGAACACAGGAGGGAATTGGCACAGAGGTCCCCAGATCCAATTCTGTGCCAATAGCCTCATTCTTTGTCTTACTGAGAAAGACAGCCCCCTTCCTACTCCACTACAACCTCCCAGACCATGAGGGGTATCCCAGGAAGCGAGGAGGCAGGGGCTCCAGGAAAGGATTCCCAGACAATTCACGGAGCCTTCCTCCTGGGCTCCTCGCCAACTCCCTCTTCCCTCATCAGGCTCTGTGGCCCCTGCTCTGTCAGCCCCAACTCCTTGGGCTTCCCAGAGAGTTACAGCTGCTCAGGCCCAAACCCTCGGCTCCAGTAGGAGACGCAGGGCCCAGCCCCCAGGTTGCTGGCAGCAGGCTGAAGACACTAAACTCCTGATGTGTACATTCTGCCCTGGCCTTTTGCCCTTTGCCTCCCAGTGGTATTTGAATAAAGTATGTAGCTCTGTCTGCCCCTATTTTCCTGTTCTGCATCCCCCTCGATCCACATGTAATGCATTACTGCTCCCCTCTTATTTATCTCAGTAGCTTCCTCTCCCCTCTCCCCTCCCCTAGCTCCTCCAGCCCCTATTAACTCTGCATTAAGCATTCCACATAATAAAATTAAAGGTTCCAGTTACTGCTTGGTGGGCCTGACCTGGCCTGTCTCTTGGTCTCATCCCTGTACCAGTGCTTCCTCAAATGCTTTCTGGAAGTAGCTAGAGGTAGAATGCAAAGGACAGATAATCCAAAGTTCTCCTCTCTCCCTAAGAAGGTGGGGGTGATGCAGTGGGTCAGGACAACTGGCATCACAGTGGGGTCGGTCTGTGCTAGGGACTGAGGCCTCAGACAGGAGCTCTTCCCCAGCCCAGCTGTGCCCACACTGCAGGTGGGCCACTCCCTGGCTCAAGCTGGAACTCAGTGAGAGTGCCGTCCAAGCAGCCTCTGTGCTCATCCAACAGAGAGGGGGCCTTGCAAAGAATTCAAGGGAGCAGTCCACTCCAGGATCTAGCCGAGACCTGAGAGCAGCTGCCCATGTCTAAGTGTAAAGGAAGAATGGCAGACGTGCAATCTAATCCTTCACAGCTTGCTCCCCAAGAGCTCTTTCCTCAGCAGAACTCCAACCTGCATTCGGGGGCCAGGAGCCACTCCACCTCAGGGACAGGGGAAATCTCTTCACCACCTGCTCCACTGATGGACAGCTCCAGTGGTTGGACATCCTTCCTTATACCCAGCTCATAACAACCGTAGTAGCTGCCATGTAGCAAGTGCTCCCTGGCCAAGTGCTTTGTTATCAGGCCTATGAAGGAGTGGGTCAGACCGTCAGCTCCATTTTCCAGATGGGGAACTGATGCTTTGAGAGGTTGATGCTAAGTGCTGGTGCCAGAATTTGAAGGCAGCTCTGACGCCAAAGCTAGCGCTCTTAACCATCATCTCTTCCACCTGTCCATCGTTTGCCAGCCCTACTTCCACTTTTAATCTGAAGTGATGCTTCCCTCACTGCTCCAGATCAGCATCGCCAGCTCCATTACCCGTTTCTTCTAGCTGTGGGCTCCAGCCCCTCACCTCCTAGTCAGGACCTGGGGTAGGGCGGGGAGCACCAAGAACCAGCGCAGGCCTCCAGGGTGGCCAAACTCCCATCTCGAAGCTGCATCGTGTGAGCTTTTCAGGCAACCTCGCCAACACTGCTGGCTGCCATGAAGCTTAGTCTAAGTGCAAACCCCTGCTCTTGTAGACAATATCTCTGCCAAGTCAGATCACCCTAAAACTGTATATAAGCTGTTTTCTGGTGTTGTGTTTATTTTGTTGTGTTGTAGATAAATGCAGGATTTTATACTGATCTTTAACAGATTTCATCTTGTTGGATTTGACCATTTCCCCACTTGTATTAAATCTTTTGGAATTCTGAATCCAACTTATTAGCTCTCCTTCTGAGCTTTATGTATCTGCAAACTTGAATATCCTCATTCAAGTCACTAATAAAAAAGGTTGAAATCAAGAGGGACAGGCCCTGTGTACACCACTAAATACCTCTCCACCATCAATTCTATTATCTTACTCTTAGGAGAAAACTGTCCAATCAATTATGAATCTATCTAATTACACCATCATGAAGTGCAAACTTCTCCACCAGAGCCGGATGGAAAGACTGCCTGATGTCTTGCTGAAATGAAGATTCGCTCTATCTGTGGCATTCCTCCCACCTACCAGACCAGTAACCACTGAAAAAGGAAATTTGTTTCATTTGGTGATATTCTTACAAACCCTACGCTAGCTCCTGGATCTCCTCTTTATTATCTAAGTGTTTTCAAATATGCAATAACCTATTCTGGAATTTTGTTAGGGATCAATCAGTACTAATCTTATGTGCTCCTAATTGTTAGAACCCACCCTTTCCCCTCTACTGAAAAGCAGGACATTAGTCCATTTCCAGTCTGTTCGCTGCTCCTGCTCTCAGTGGGACTGGGGACATGGAGCTAGCAGGGCAGGAGGAAGGAGCTACATCAAAAAGACGGACCCACCACCTCCAAGACCCTACACCTCATGAGATCCACTGGGATGTCACTGGGGATACAGGAGGAGGGGAAATGCCTGAGAGGACAAATGACCCCAGAGGAGTCAGAAAACCTGGCTTGTGCTCATCCTAGACCCAAGGTTCCGGATGTGCTCGGACCTCAGTAAGGTAGTGGCTTCACATGTAAAGAGAGAAGGGGCCAGGTGTTTCTGGAGAGGATGGAAGAGACCATGCCCACGACTGGCCAGCTCAGTAGCAAGGGACTGACTCCCTGAAAGAGGAGCAGAATGGGAAGGGGGAGGTGGGAAGAAAACACCCCTTTCTCCATCTCCCTTACACCCTATCCCCTAAGGGTTAACCCCCTACTGCCTCTCCCAGCCCCTTCTCTCCTCCCCCCGCCAAACCCCATCTCCCTTTAATCACATCTGATACTGAGCGGCCCAGCAGGAACAAAGAGACCATTTAGAGAAACGGGGCCGAGAAAGTGACCCCCGCACTCTGGGGCGGCCGCCTGGATGCCAGCACAAAGGCGGCATTTCAGAGCTGAAATTTCAGCACCCAACTTGATTAAAGGATTCCACAGGCTTGGAGGAGGGCGGAAGGGGGTGCGAAGCGCACTGCTCCCTGAATTAACCCTTCTCCAGAGCAGCAAACACCCCTCCCATGCCTGTGGATGCTCATCATTCCCACCATGTCCAGGGTGCACCCACCCCGGGGACCTGCCTCCTGGAGAGGTCCAAGAAGCGCAACTCCTCCTCTTCCCAGAAGGGGAGCTGACAGTGGAATGGAGGGCAAGGCTGGACCATTCAGGCCACCAATATGCCCTCTGTCTCTTGATGTCTATATACACCCTCTCCCTGTCCCTCGAGGGAGAGAGGAACTGTGATTGGTCTTAGTGCAGGTGGGTAAGCAGGGTGGAGAAGAGAACAGGACCTATTAGAACCTAGGGCAGAGGAAGGGGAGCTCCAGTCCTGATTCAACGTCACATCTTAAACCCAGGAGCCCTGCTTCCCTGCCCACTGTCATCCCAGCACCCATCCCAGTCAAGGCCTTGGAGGATCATGAGCCCCACACAGAAGGGAAAGGCCATCTTCCAGAGGGTGGGAAGGAGAGGGTATGCGTGTGGCAGACCACAGAGGTGGGCCACAGAGGACAGTGTGTGGGCAGTGGCCTGAGGAGTGGGGACTGAGGGGAGCAGGGAGGGCAGGTGCTTGGTCCTTGCTCCAGCTGCTGACTTGCCCAGCAGGGCTTTGCTTGGGGAGGGCAGATCACTACATCCCCACGCTTCCTGCTGGGGCACCGCTCTTGAAAGGGGATCCGAGCCCACGATAAGAGGCTCGAGACAGGTCCCTAGGAAACAATGGGTGGCTTGATGAGACCTGCTCTGTGATACTCCTGAGAAGGGAGAAGCCCCTGCAGCCAGTCCCCACTGGAAAGGAAATTGGGGGTTTCCGTGGCAACCAGTTCCCTGGGCACAAAGGCTCATGTGTCTGCTGGGAAGGCAGCTGAGGTGTCTCCCTGCAGCAGCCTTTGCTCTGGTGAACGGGGAGATGGAGGGAGGGATGCGGGGCATCCACAGGGGGTAAGAGCCCCTGGTGCTTCTTAAACAGCTGACAGTCACAGGGCCACTGAGATGGGTGCACACTCCAGGCAGCAGGGCAGTAACAGGGAAGCAGCAGGTGGGCATCTCAGCTAGCTGGAGGCAGAGGCGGGGTGAAAGGTTGTCTGGTTTATTATTTACACGTATAATGAATGTGAGACTAGAAACTGGGGGGGAGGCGCAGTCAGGAGGGTGATCCCAGGTCAGTCGGTGATGATGAGCTCGTCTACCCCCCAGTCTTCATAGCTCCCGTCAGGCAGGTAGCGGCGAATGATGATGGGGATCTTTCGGGCCCTGTGGCAGGGGAGAAGTCACAAGTATATGAGGGTTGGTGACCCCAGCTCTACAGCAGAAGGGATAGATAGTGTGCAAAATGCAAGGAAAGAGAAGTCTTAGGAGCATCCTCTTGGGACTATGAGTGTAGTTTGCAGGAAAGGAATTACAAGAAGAAAGTTCCTACACCCCTGAATAGTTCTGGGTCTGGAAGGGCTCTGCCATCCCATGGCTGAAGGGAGGATGGGAACAGTGGAGGGATGCTGGTAAGGCCAACTGCAGCAGGAACAGGCAGGGTTGGACAGACAGGAGAGGTCTAGGTCTCATCAGTGCCCGCCCCCTTTGCCTGCCCTCCTTGCCCTCCCCCTCCTTCCTGGTGGGCTGACTCCTGAACAAACTAAGGATCTAAAGGAACAAGAACTACTCTTCCCAGGCCAGGGAAGTGGGGGTCGGGGTGTGCAGCAGAGAACCCAAGGGATGCCTCCCAGGCTCTGGAGCAGTGACCCATGATCTGGGTGACTTACTTGAGCTCTTTCATGGCGATGAGCAAGGGATCTGTCTCCCCCTCCAGCTCCACCATCACAGGGGCACACATCCTGTAGGTATAGGGACAGGTGTTGGGGCAAACTACAAACGCAGAGAGAATCGGCGTCCTGGTCATCATCCAGAAAGGTCACCTTCTAGGCAGACAGGCAGGTATGGTGGCTGGGGATAAGTGGTTCAGGGCACCAACAGTGAGGGTACATGAGCCAGTAGACTGGATTCAAATTTTGCCTCCAAAGACACTGAATTTCTCTCAAAATCTCAGTATCCTCATTTGAAAATGAAGACAAAAACCCTGCCTTGCCTACACAATGATGAGGCTAAAACACTACCGGCTAACAAGCAAGGGCTCACCAAGTGCCATACGCTGTTCTCAGCACTCTTCATAGATGAGCTCATTTGAGGGGAGTACTACTGTTATTTCCATTTTACTGATGAGGAAACTGAGGCACAGAGAGGTCAGTAACTTGCCCAAGATCACAGAGCCAGTAAGTGGCAGAACCAAGATTTGAACCCCACATGCTCCTACCCACTGTGCTGTAACACCTTCCATTAATAAGCTGAAGATTCACAAACTTAAGACAGGTAGTGTGAATGGGACAAGTGTCATCACGTCAGCTACCCTGCCAAGGACCTTCCCCAAGGCCTATCACAGACTCCTGAGCCAAGGAGCCATGGCAGAGCATTCCAGCCCAAAGGAACAAAAGAAGGGCAGGTGCAAAGGCTGGCCCTCCTGACCACTCTAGCCCAACCTCTTGGCCCTGCCTCAGGGCCCACTGCACCTCAATGTCCCTCGGGGTCCTGCTATTCCAGCCTCACATGGGGCCTGATGTCAGGCACTCACCTGTTTACAACCCTTCCGTGATCCCCACAACCATCAGGCAGAACCCAGTCTGGCCCCTGCTCACCCTTCTGGCACCTTCTCACCCTACTTGCCTATATTTACCCTACATTCCTGCCATACCAAACCACTCCAGCTCCCTGGACAGACCCCATTGTTCCCTTTTTGACTCTTACAAGCTCTTCCTCTCCCTACGGGCCTGAGAGCGGCTCCAACGTGCCCACTCTGGAAATCACTTGCAGAAGCCTCAGTGCCCTGACTCATTCTGCATATGCTTTTCCATCTCACTGTACTGTAACCACTTGTTTGAAGTTTCCCACATTAGACCGTGAGCACCTGGTGGCCCAGGACCACATACCCTAGCACAACACTTGGCCCCAGGTGAAGCTCTAAAAACAAACAGGCACAGTGCCAGTTGTAGCTCCACCTCCTCCATGAAGCCACCCTTCATGATTCCAACTCACGTTTACACTAATGGATCCCAAACCTGAGAAGCATCAGAATTACTAGGAGAGCATGCTAAGTATGCTCCCAGGTCCTGCCCCAGACCCTCTGAATAGACTCTCTAGTGAAGGAGCCTGAGAACCTGCATTTGCAAAGCTCCCCAGGGGATGCTGATTATCAGCCAGTCTGAAACCCACCAGTTTCCACCAAATAATTTACTAATTTTATTACTAAATATTTTTATTTCTGTTACTCCCCAAAGCCTAAAAATTTCCCAAGGGCAAAGACCAAGTGTTTAACTTTCTCTATATCCTCTCTCAGTCAGTATCTACATTTCCCCCAAATTTAAAGCTTTAAAGGATGTGGCAAAATGCTTTTCCTGATCTGCATATGCCTATTTCTTTCAAGATGAATAATTCAAGAACACTCATTCTCACGGCCCTACTATGCCCATGCCCTCGGGAAACCTGAGTGTGCCCTTAGGTACTTTGTCTCGCAGCAGGGCTGGGATCCTCAGGAAGTGGCTGTGGTAAACATCAGCCGCCAGGTGGTGCTAGTGAACCAGAGTGAGACTTCACCCAAAAACTATCCAAGAAATGTCTGTTCAGCACCTACTAAGTGCAGGGTTGCATGCCTACTGCTACAGATAAGGTACAGCCCTGGCTGTCTAAGGGCTTACAGCAGACGGGGAACCCCCAGACAGCATCCTAGCCCTTAATCAAAAGGAGTACCACAGACTCGACTAGGCTGGACAGCCTTGCTCCCAAAGAAAAGCAGGATGCT